GTAAGTTTTTATTATAAATTCAATACAAACATAGATTTATAAGGCAAATACAAGTAAAAAATAGTACTTTCATTTTTGTGACTAAATTTATACATTTTAATTAAAGCTTTTTTATCTCTGTAAATAGTTAAACATTTAATTTGCAAATACAAGTTTCTTTCATCACTTTGGCAAATTTGTTTAAACATTTTATTTGTATATTGCTTTTTATTCACTAGATAAGAATGTTTTAACAAAAACAAATTTGAACCGCATACGCAAATGTACAGTGGTGGCTACGATTTTAGCACACTTGGTATATGTTGCCTATAACATGAAATATTTCCTATAGTTCTTAACTTTTTTAACAAATTCTTTTTTATGCGTAACACATGTCCTTCGAGGATCACGACACATTACATTTTGTTCCACTACTTTGTTGCATATAGATTTTTTTCTTTCCAAAGTACATCTACCCCCAAAAAAATCTGGACATAAGTTTAGCACAAAATTAAAAAATCATTAAAAAATTAAAAATAAAACAAAACAACCGGCTATATTTATCTTATTGCATTTAAAATTTTATATTTTGTGGAATAGTTGCAGATTTTGATAATATCATTCTTCCTCCTGGACATAATCTTCACCAGAACCCTCTAGAAATTTCATGACATAAATATTAACTTTCAGCCCATAAATTGGAAAAATTCTTGGTGATTTCTGCTTTTATTTGTTGGTCCATATCATGTTATATGTTCTCTATTGAATTGGAATCGAGAAAATATACTGGGCACTGCAAACATGACAATCCCGCTCGCTTCCAAGCAGCTCATATCAACACTTTTACCATATTTACGGTCGATGTCGACCAAAAAACGCCATCTTTGTCCTCCGATATTTTTAATAAAGTAATTAAAATCCTATTTTGATAGTCATACGGATCCATTTCTGCATCCAACATCAATATAGGACCAACAGCACGCCAAGAAAATGCAATGAATACCATGAAATTTCCCCCCATTGTGATATATGATTTCTCTGGAACACTTTAGCTTTATCTGCATGATTGGAGGATACTAGTTGAAGATTAATAGGATCAAATTTGATGGAAAAATGTAATTATGCTGTACTCCAAACATGCAGCAACAACCAAAGTGTACATTTAAAACCATAAAACACAATGGGTGAAATATGACGAATTCGGAGGCGTTTTCCGGGCGTAGTGGAGGTTCTATACGCAAGGTGGATGCACAAATGGATCAGTATGACTATCAAAATAGACTCTTAAATATTTTATTAAAAAAATTAGTGGACAAAAGTTCAGTTAAATGGCGTTTTTTGGTCGACAATGACCCAAAATATGTTAAAAGTATAGAGAGGAGCTTCTTGGAAGCGAGCGAGATTGACATGTTTGCAGCGCCCAGAATAATTTCTAGATCCCAATCCAATAAGGAACATATTAAACGAAATGGTGCAACAAATAAAACACAAATTCCTAAGAATTTTGCCTAATTATGGGCTGAAAGTTAAAATTTATGTCATGAAATTTCTAATGAGTTCTGATGAAGATTATGTCCAGGAGAAGAAATTATATTATCAAAATGTGCAACTATTCTACAAAATATAAAATTTTAAGTGAAATTACATAAATTTATCCGATTTCTTTGCTTTATTTTTAATTTTTTAATGATTTTTTTATTTTGTGCTAAACTTATGTCCAGATTTTTTTGGGGGTAGATGTACTTTGGAAAGAAAAAATCTATATGCAACAAAGTAGTGGAACAAAATGTAATGTGTCGTGATCCTCGAAGGACATGTGTTACGCATAAAACAGAATTTGTTAAAAAAGTTAAGAACTATAGGAAATATTTGATTTTATATTTAACAGATACCAAATGTGTTAACCTCATGGCCGCCACTGTATTTATTTATATACAATATTGTTTATAAATATATAAAGTACCTATAAAAACACATTAAAATTTCTTATTGCATTTCACACGACAGACGACTATGACGTCTGTGACGTAATTTATTTTATATATATTTTTTTTATTGCGAAAATTAAAATTATTGACGTTACAGTGGCAAACTATTTGCATTTTAAGTAATTTTATTAAAGGCTAAGAAAATTTATAAAATTTGTTATAATAGAGTAATAAAATTAACATGTATAGTTTTTTTTTTAACTTATTTAAAATTTTATCAACGTTCTTAGTAATAGATACTCGCTACCTAATAAATCTCATAGTGTGTGTGGAATATTTTCTTTAGTTATTTTTCTGGTTGTGTGATTATTTTATTGGCTAAGATTATTATTTTGTTTTAGCATGTGGTTAGTTGTTTGTTAAGTACTTATACTATATGCTATTTTTCAGTACATGTGTGCTACATATGCCCACAAGGTGTTTCCCGAAAATACTTGTTTTTTAGCTATTTTAGTTGTGCATATGGTAAACACTATTTTCGAGGCGCAAAACTTTAAATGAAATATTTATTTATTTGCAAATTTTAGGAAATAGAAAAAAGATTATAGAAATCCAAAGGCGGGAAAGCATGCTACCACATCAAACTTCGGACGCTCTTTTAGCTTCCAAACTGCTGATTAATTCGAACAGTGAAATTGTAGTTGCTGGTGATTTCAATGCTTACAGATCATCTGGGCTTCGCCATTCAAGTCATACAACTTCAGAAAGCAAATATGTTGAGTTATTCGATTCGCACTTCGATTATTCATTTTCTCATTTCAAATCCTCTCGGTACTTCGGATCAGTACACCATCTCCGCTTTCTTTTCACTCTACACGAGCAGCTAAAGTCTTCGCGCTAAGGTTCTTGCATCATCTTCGCCTCCTTTTCGCTCTCTACACGAGCAACAAAGCCTTTTGGTCGTTCGTTAAAAGTGTTAAGGATAAGGCTAGTTCTTCAATTTCGACGCTTTTCAAGGACGACCAAACATACACTGACCCAGTGGATAAAGCTAACCTTTTACCAGATTTATTTGCAAGTAATTATTGCTTGACGAAAAGTGATCAACCACTGCCCGAGCTCGAAAGGTTATCAGTAATTATGCCAAATATAATAATTTTCTCACTTAACCTCCAGCGTCTTCGCGCTAAGGTTCTTACAGTTCTCTTTGGTCGTTTGTTAAAAGTGTTAAGAGAAAGCGTCAATTCCGACGCTTTTCAAGGACGACCAAACATTCACTGACCCAGTTGATAAAGTCAACCTTTTAGCTGATTTAATCGCAAGTAACAGTGAAACTAAAGCAATCTTAGAACATGTTAATCTTGCAACGATTTTGAGACACTACCAGCTGATGTGGAAACAGTTGAAACTAAAGCAATCTTAACACCGTTATGATTGTATAGGAGAAGTACCCAGAACACTATTGTCATTGTACAGACGAAGTCCGAAGAACTTGGTTAAAGCGGACAACTTTTCACTGTCCCTTAGAGCATGTTAATCTCCCAAATGTTTCGAGTCACTACCAACTGATATGGAAATAGTTGAAACTTAAACAATCTTAACACCCTTATGATTGTACCAGAGAAGTTGCAAGAACACTATTGAGATTGTACAGATGAAATCGTAAGAATTTGGTAAAAACAGAGAACTTTTCATTGTCCTTTAGAACATGTTAATCTTCCAAATGTTCAGAGACTCTACCAACTGATATGGAAACAGTTGAAACTAAAGCAATATTAACACCCTTGTGATTATACCAGAGAAGTTCCAAGAACACTATTGAGGTTGTACAGATGATGTTGTAAGATCTTGGTAACTTTTCACTGTCCGTTAGAACATGTTAATCTTCCAAAAGAGTTGAAACTAAAGCAATATTGACACCTTTAGGATTGTACAGTAGAGGTTATAACTTGCCACTGCTCGATACAAGATTTTGCCCATAAATGGGATAAAAACACATACGATTATTGTCAATGTGATCATATTACGAAGAGGTAGAGGACGTATTATATGTAAAAGCTGTATTTTTGTTGTTTTGTAACGGTATGTAAATGTTACAAATATTTCAAATTTCTTTTGAATATATTACACTTCAATACACAACAATACTTTAGCCATAAACATGTAAATCGATTTTACCCAACCCTGGCCACACATTTTACTGACGTAGTTTTAAATTGTAGGTTTTTCTTTTCTGTTTGCCTGGTTTATTATACTATTACAATGAATATGTACTTGCACATTGTGCGGAATATGTTGTAATGAACTTTACACACATACGTTTTTTTTTTTGTTTGTATTTATTTTATATGATTTTGTACAGTATAATGTATGTATAATGTGTAGGTTTGCCGGGTCTCTAAAGTTAAGTATATGAATACTATATATGTATAAATAAACATATTGTGTGTTTGTAGACATATAAACTCTCTCTTTCGTTAGCTTGAATTTAAAACGTTAACCTTAACCTTGATTTTGAAAGTTAAATGAAAATAAAAAATTATTGAATAGATTTCTCAATAATTTGTTGCTTTTATATGGCTGCACTTGAAATATATGCCGGTATATTAGAGATTTTCTCAATGAAATCAGAAAAGTATTAAGAAATGTATAAAATAAGTACTAAAAATAGTAATAGCTATTAATTTATCTCTTCAAATATAAACTTTTAATAACATTATTGCAGATATTTTTTATTTATTTAAAATCTGATTTAACTTTCCATTTATAAATTTTATGACTCATTGCCATAATCTAAAATGACTTTGAGACCCTAAAAATACCTGCTTAGCTAAACATATTGTCTAAAAGTTAACAATTCATTTAACAAAAAACTATTTTTAGCTTAAATATATATAAACTAAATTTAGATTTATAGTTGTCCTGGACTTGTACCAAAGATTAAAACGCAAATAATTGGAAATTCTAATTTTCCCTTTTAGTATGTTATATTTTTACATTTCCAGCAATCAATATTAAGCGTGGGTTGTATAAAATAGTTCCTTTTTATTGTGTGTTTTTGTCTGCACGTTTAAAAATAAACACTTGTACATG